GGGAAGTGTTGTGTGTCGAAAGATACCAGCAACTCCTAAAAAGAGAGAGGTATTTGGCTGAGACCCTTCAAGATGAACATCTTTAAATCAGGGCAAATACACAGATATCCTTAATTCCACCTTCCTTCCTGAGAGTTGTTCATTATGGGATGCAGGCTTCTGGGATAGGAGCAGGCGTAGGCAGGAGAGACGTATATACAGTGTGGAGGTGGGGGGAACTATGTAAGGCTTCATGCAACTTTACTCCTTTGAGCTGCACTTGGCACGTGGCGTTGCCTGCTCTCCGGAAGCCCAAGTTCATCATGAGGTCAGTCCCGCTTCCTGAGATTCTACAAGTCAGACTGGTCTCTGTTCTCAGAACATCATCCTGAGACCCCAGAGAGGCTCTGACTACTAACAGGGATCACAACAGCAGGCAAGAGTACAAAGAACAAAGAAGGAGGCAGCTTTGGTCCTAGTCCCATTTCTGCTGTGAACTTTTTGACCACAAGTAAGTCACTTGATCTCTGTGGGTCTCAACTCCTTCTTGAGAGGAGAGGGCGAGATTGAATCATTTAATATTTATCCAGAGTCTACTATATGCCAGGCACTGTGCTAGGGGCTGGGCAAACCAAGCAGAAAAAAGCCCTGTCTCTGCCCTACAGGAACTCATGATTTGCTGGGGCCACACCCACAACTATCTTATAATGAGGACTGGCAATCTGGAAAGGATACAAGGAGTAGGAGGGAAGTCTAAGAGAATTTCTGAAGCCTGGAAGGAGGAGACCTAACAGGCCAGTCAAATTCTGCCACTTGAACTGGCCCTTTTGAATGAGTAGCATTTAGGCTGGGGGCAGGGTGTGGGGTGTGGAGGGAGGGAAGTAGGAAGAAGTCCCTTATTATCCTGAAATTTGAATATTCTAGAAAAATATAAAGACAAAGAGATCTTTTCATGGTAAAATGTCAGTATTTGCTAAATAGATGTGTGCATGTGCCGCATCTATTACTTTCTGCACTGCTCTCTGGTTTGAAATACTTCATAATTAAAAGACACATTCGATGCCTGCATTCAGATACTCCACACTTCGTGCCTAGGCTTACTCTCTCACTATTATTTTCAGTATCGTTCAAGTTCTTACCTGGTAGAAAAACCAAAGTGAACAATGTTGATAAATCTATGATGAAAAACTGTTTGGCTGTGCAGTTCAAGAAAGAGAAGTCATACGTTTACTGCATTTACTCCTCTCCGATTCTCAAGAAATGTCAGAAGAAATATAAAAAAGAAGAGAAACTATATAGCAACACTTGAAGTCAGGCAAAACTGCCTTGCCTGGATAAGTAAAGTCTGGGAAAAAAGCAGAAACCTACCGTGCCCCTGCACCAAGCCATGTTTTCTTTAAAAAAAAAAAAAAAACTATGCATGCGTGTAGTGTGTGATACAAATGTGTGTGTGTGTATTGTCTGTGTGAGAGAGAGAGAGAAAGAGAAAGATCTCTATAGTCACAGGGAGAAGGAGAGTTTCAGAGAGATTGGCTATAAATAAAACAAAGTCTAGAAGGGTTTACACCAGAGGTTACCCCTGCCAAGTGGGACACAGAGGGCAGGTAGAGGAGAAAGGCTTTCATTTTTTACCTTTCTACTCTTCTAAACATTTTTGGTGTATTGCAAAGAACATGTATTGCTTTTTTAATTTGAAACACAGTAAGGATAAAATATCTTTTGGCTCACAAAGCAATGCTAATTAATGTTTAATGCTTAACTGAAAAATTGGGTGCCCTTTCATTGACAAATATACCTCACTCATTCTCTAGAAAAAACAAAAACTGAAACACTTAGGGATTAAATCAGTTCACATCAGAAACGCTAAAATTTCCTTGTGCTATGTTAACCAAAAGTCGGCAGTTCGAATCCACCAGCTGCTCCTTGGAAATCCTGTGGGGGAGGTTCTACTCCGTCCTATAGGGTCGCTAGGAGTTGGAATCATTTATGTGTTCTAAGACTCAGATGGAAAGCACCATGCAAATGCAACATATTATTTAGATAACGTATTTTTCTCTAGCAAAAGATGTAGAAAGTCACTGATGGGATATTTTTGGAACTTCTTGGCCACTAAGTTATTATTGATACCATTGGGCAGCTATTATCTACTATTCTCTTTCTCAAAATTTCCTCCCTGACCCTGTAAGGTGCTTTCTCTAAATCAAATTTTAGATTTAAAAATATATATATCAGTAATGGAAAAGCTCTAGGGCATTAATTCTTTACTCTGTGATCATATCCAGAAAAAGAAACACAACAGAGAACTCATTACCTTGGTTGAATCATTAGTGTATTAGTACAACTATTCTTTTCAAAAATCACTTGCAAAGGCTGACTTTCTTGAAAACACACATTATGAGTTCTTTTAATACCTTAAAAATAAGAAGGAACCTGTTAATAATTTTAAGTACAAAATGAACTGATTAAAAAAGTCTTTAAATTCCACCTGAACCCAAACCAAACCCACTGCCATTGAGTTGATTCCCACTCATGGCTATCCTATAGTTTCCAAGGCTGTATGTAAATCTTTACAGAAGCAGACTGCCACATCTTTTTCCCATGGAGTGGCTGATGGATTCGAACTGCTGACTTTTGGTTAGCAACCCAATGCTTAACCACTGTACAACCACGGCTCCTTTAAATTCCACAGCCAGGTTAAAATAATAAAATTAAAGTACTGTTTCATATTTGGCAGGCGCATAGAGCTTGCAGCAGCACAATTCCTTAGTGAAATGTGTTTACTGCTCCCTAGTGGACACCAGGTGACATGTCACCCCCTCTGACCAACCAGGCAATGAAGTACACACATTTCTTTTAAATACAAGCAGCATAAGACAGTGATTGTGTATAAGATAGTGATTGCCCGCTACAGAACATACATCTATGAATCTCCTTCACTATCCTTCCTCCAGGACTGGTATTTCTGGATGGGATTTGGGCAGTTAAACTCGAATATCTGGTCTGTGGATTATTTTCCTCTGAGAGGAAGAAAAGGAGAGGAGGCATTGGTGGTTCCGTGGTAGAATCGTCACTTTCATGCAGAAGACCCAGGTTCCATTCCCAGCCAATGCACCTCATACACAGCCACCACCCATCTGTCAGTGGAGGCTTGCCTGTTGCTACGGTCTTCCAGACTAACACAAACTAGGAAGAATGCCTGTTGATCTACTTCTGAAAATCAGCCAATGAAAACCCTATGGATCAAATCCTTTGGATCACAACACTCTATCCCCAGCTGATCATGGGGATGGCACAGGACCAGGCAGCATTTCTTTCTGTTATGCAACAACATAGAGGTTACTTACATATACTTGCCTTGTTTGCATGCAGTTCTAATAGTAATGCACAAATATGGTGCACTCTCAAGGAGTAAATTTAAGGCAGTTGATGCAAGTTCAACAAGGTTAGGCGTATGACTCCGTACTGTTAAGATGAAATCATCCTTTTTTTCTATTAGCAGATGCTAAATCATCTATGAAATCACTGTTCTACTGTTTACGGTTAGATTCCTTTTCAGTAGCTCGTGTTTTGGCAATTGCTTTCTACCTCTGAAGAGAGCCAAACTTATTTATCTGTAAAACAAAAATCCTCACAACTGGACCGATAAGCAACATCATGATAAACGGAGAAAAGACTGAAGTTGTTAAGGATTTCATTTTACTTGGGTCCACAGTCAATGCCCATGGAAGCAGCAGTCAGGAAATCAAAAGACACCTTGGGCAAACCCGCTGCAAAAGACCTCTCTGAAGTGTGAAAAAGCAAAGATGTCACTTTAAGGACTAAGGTGCGCCTGACCCAAGCCATGGTGTTTTCAATCACCTCATATGCATGTGAAAGCTGAACAATGGATAAACAAGATCAAAGAAGAATTGATACCTTTGAATTATGGTGTTGGCAAAGAGTATCAAATATACCATGGACTTCCAGAAAAACAAACAAATCTGTCTTGGAAGAACTACAGCCAGAATGCTCCTTAGAAGCAAGGATGGTGAGACTTCGTCTCACATACTGCGGACATGTTATCAGGAAGGACTAGATCTGAAGAAGGACATCATGCTTGGTAGAGGGTCAGCAAAAAAAAGGAAGACCCTCAGGGAGACGGACTGACACAGTGGCTGCAACAATGGGCTCAAGCATAACAACGATTATGAGAATGGTACAGGACAGGGCAGTGTTCCGTCTGTTGTACACGGGGTTGCTATCAGCTGGAAGTGCCTTGACGGCACCTAACAACAATAATCTGTAACGTCTTCCCAAGTTCCAAATCTGTTTTTCTAGCAGCTTATTACATATTTCTTCCTGCGTGAGTTTTCGCAATTAAAATTGAACCGGATTATTCACGTAAAATTGCAAGCATAATTTGCTAATAAGCATATATAGCTACTGAACCCAATTACTGAAGCAACTGCCTAGCCAGCATCTATTTCTCTGTTTTGCCCTTCCTTCCTGAACCATCCCTTCCTCAGTGTGTAGCAGCCATGAGGTTTGGGTGGGAACAACTCCACTTTCAGCTCTAGGGGTGGGCCCTGCCAAGCAGAAACCAGTTGGTGTAATCTTATCCCCCTGCAATAGACTCTGGTTTCAATAAGGCAGTATCAGCCAAGGCAGTTAGAGAATGGCATTCCTCCTGGCCACCAGGATTAATTAAGGTTGGTCCAGTCGGAGCAAAGTCAAGCACTTTTGTTCAATAGGAAGTGAGACTCTCATTTCCCCTAGATGTGAATGAGGAAGCCAGTAGCCTCCATTGCTGCTGGAAGTCACCTTATTACTCTAAGTGAAGCTGGCCTTCACCTGGAAGATAAAACTGACACATGGTGGAGAGTAGATCTGAGAGTGTAAAAATAAATAAATAAAATGAAGCTGCAGCCTGGATCAAACCATACCTAAAGCCTAACCTAACTCTGAACTTTTATGAGCTAGTACTCTTCTCTATTGTTCAAGCCAGTTTGAGTTGAATTTTGTTTTTTTTTCTGTTACTTGTAACCTAAAGCATCCTAAATCATACAACTACCCTACAAAAACTATTTTTTAAAAATTAACCAATCACACATATTTATTGAGCCATTTGAGAAATACTTAAGAAACTAAAGATTGGCTGTTTAAAATCTAGCTGGAGAAAAAGGATGAGGATAAGCAGTCAGAGCAGTCACTGACCATTGAGCACTCCCTCTGTGTCAGGCACCATGCTCCATGCTTTACATGTGTGATCTCAACTCACCCTCACAACAACCGTGTAATGTAGGGGCAGGTAAGATGATCCCCATTTTACAGAGAAGAAAATGAAGACTCAGGGGATTATGCCCCATCTCAAAGCTAATAAGTAGAACCAGAATTCACACTCATGTATGTCTGTGTGACTCCAAGGCTCGTTGTGCTTTTAATCTTGCGTTTTGCCTGATTGTGCTATTACATGAACTAAAGTTCAAGGAAGG